AGAGAGGGCCTGGCCCCGTCAGCGTACGCCACCACCGATGCACGGGGTGGACGACGATGAAGAGAAGCTATCATAGGTCAACCCCTTCAGCTTCTAACACAGTAGGACAACGACAGCTTCGCCTGCTATGGTTTCAGTGACCACCAATGGAAGGCCGCATTTCGCGTCGACATACCTGAGTTCTCGGGTGGCTTAGACACGTAGGAGTACTTGGATTGGATGGCTACTGTCGAGACCGCCCTCGACTATTCAGGGACCAGGCAGATTACCAAGGGTCGACATAATATGAAGGTCCTCTCGTTTTGATGACGACGGAGTATGAGGGTCCCCCAATTTTTTTATGAATAGAATCCTATCGCATTGGTGGTGTCGGTGGGTGTCGTGGCGACTGTAGGATGAAACAATGGATTCCACGACAAAAGAGACCTCAATCACAAATGTTGAGATTTTATTCCCCGTGGCAGTTATTGTTGTTTCTCGTCGCACATCAAATCTACTTCTACTTTACTCAATTCAAAGGGTGCCGCTCAATTTAAGTTTGGGAATTATTGCTTATGGCGCAAGGAACAAAAATAAAAAATGGAGGCTTCTATAGGTATAACGGAATCAATTCATGTCAAGTTTGCGATGTACCATTGTATGTGAGTCATATTGGGACGACTACATTGCGCCGGAATCGAGGACGAATCCTTTTCGAGAGGAGGAGAATGGTGGAGAATAGAGATCCTTAATTTTATTTATTATCTATTTTCTTTATTACTTTATTAGAATTATTGTCTTGTTGGACAAGATAGAAATTTGGGGTCTGAGAAGTCTTATTTAAAGAGTCATCTTCTTTTGTTTCAGTTGAATTTGAATAAGAAAATATCGTATTTGAGAGATAAATTTCTTCTTTTTATTCTCAATCGTGCGCTTCTCTACATCAGACATAAAGACTTTTTAGCCCGTGTACAAAATCATTACTCCTCTCATAATAATATAGATAGATAGATAGATAGACAGACAGACATACATTGAACATGACAAGCTTCGTATTAACTGAACTATTCACAAACTCCTCTCGTCACCGCGAGACCACAATGTGTGTGTATTTCCACTCGTTGTGAGTTATGAGCCTGAAGAAAAAAGAAAACAACCAAAAACAAAGATCAGGAAATCTAGATGATTAGTACCCAACAAAAAAGAAAACAGCTGGAGATGAAAAGAAAGGCCACATGTATGCCATTTTTCAAGAGCCCACAAACTAAGAAGAAGCCTTTTCTTTTCTTCACTTATTGCTTTACCTCAATTTATTTTGCTAAGGTTGGAAAGAGTTGTTAATGATTAAAGGAGTTGTTTAAATAATACTATTATACCTTTCACTTGGGTACTACAAAACACTTTCACTTGTGTACTACAAAATGTTTGCTTTCCAGGATAAGGCAGGATATCCCGTCTTATCCTGCCTTAATCCCATGTTTGGTTGCTAGGATCCGGCCCTGGATAGATTGCTTGGCCCGGGATTAAAATTGTTTTAATCCCATGACAGTGGGATAAATCCATCCTCTCTTCTTGGTGGGATTAGGATAATCCCACAGGTTTGGATTATTTTTCTCCAATCCCATCCCACCAAACAAACATGGGGGGGCCTACATGCTGACAATAATTTCACAAGACAAGACAACAAATCAAAAGCCAATTCGAATAGAAACTAACTACACTCGGACCCCTTCATCGGAGATAGTCAACACAATTATGAATGCAAAATTGGGTAAGAAGTAAGAACACACGGAACTCAACAACAATTATTACCTTAAACAATGTAAACCAGACACAGCAGCAGCAGGCTCACAGCCAGAATCATGAAACACAAAATTCACAAATTCGAAAAAACACACCTCAAACATAAGAAAGCACATCCTAATCAAGAAACATAAAAAATCACAAATTCGGCGATTTTATTCCAAACACACGCGCATAAGAAGAATCGCTGAATTCCCATAACAACAGTACCTGAAAGAAAGCTCGAATGAAGACATACCTCATACGTACGAGAGCAACATCCTGAAGTAAACTATGACATAAATCGCCAGGGACAAAACCGCAAACACGTGCTGCCAAAAGAGCAGAGCCGAGGCCTCCTTCACTGCATACCCCCTCAGACTTGCGACGGCACCCAACAGGATCGCACTTGGAGTCGTGTACTGCAAGAGGAGCACAAACCTATACATCTGATCCCCAGGGACCAAGAACCCCGACATGTCCGCCACATACACCACCCCCATCCCTATTATCGGCAGCACCACAAGCCTCGCCACCATTATCCCAACAGTCGTCCGGACTCCGAGCCTCGACTCGTCTGGCCCCTCCGCCAGCATCCCCCCAAGAATCAGCATAACTGACGGAACCATGGCTGCAGCCAATATTTCCAAACTATCAGTGACGAACGAGAGCGGGGCATCCTC